GTGTGTAGTAGTGTGGTTGTTCTTTTCCAGCTGACGTCGTCTCTGAACGTTTGATTGTTTTTACGTGAACTTCGCTGCGTTTCGTCTGTTTGACGCTGAAACATTAAACTTTAACGTCCGACTGATTAAAACTTTATTTAAACCTCCTCAGATGGAGCTCCGTCGCCATGGAAACCAACCCAGCGACGCCCTCAGTAGGTGGCTTGGTCGCCACGACGAAGACCAGCGCGGCCTGCTGGCGCTGAACGTGCTGTTGCTAGGCGACAGGCAGAGTGGGAGGAGCTCCGTGGGGAACGCTCTGATTGGTCGGTTTGTTTTCCTTTTTGTCAACATTTTTAAAGTCGACCAGAAGTCGTAGTTTTTTATTTAACCTGCAGGCGGACACGAGTTCAGGACAGGCGCCGTTTCCATGACGACCGAGTGCCGCCGCCTCAGCCGACGGTTCCCACGCTGTTTCAGGCGTCAGGGGGCGGAGTCTGACCTCCTGCTCAGCGTGGTGGACACGCCCCCTTGCGTGCCCCGCCCACACGCCGTGCACGAGCTCTGCCCTGAGGGCGTGCACGTGATCGCCGTCGTTGTTCGAGTCGACCTGCCGCAAGAAAATACACACCTGGTGCAGCACGCGGAGGTACACACACACACACATACACACACAGACACACACACAGACACACAGACACACACACAGACACACACACACACACACCTAGACACACACATAGACACACACACATAGACACACACACATAGACACACACACACACACACACACACACACACACACATAGACACACACACACACACACACACACACACACCTAGACACACACACACACACAGTAACACACATGCAGACTTTGTGTGTCTTTGTGTGTATTTTGTGTCTTTCTTGTCATGTTGTGTGTCCTCCATCACTTCCTGTTTCAGCTCCTCTTCGGTCCTTCGTGGCGTCATCACGCCGTCGTCGTCTTCACGCATTCTGACCGCCTGAAAGAGGCGGAGCTTCAGCCGGCCGCCTTCCTCAGCCAGGCTGCTGATTGGCTGAAGGCTCTGGCGGAGGAGGCGGGGGGCGGAGTCTGGTTCCTGGACAACGGCTGTGATTGGCCGTCGGTCAGAGGGCGTCCGCTGAGAGAACAGATGATCCGCCTCTCGGCCAAGAACCACCACCGAGCCGCGAGGGTCCGGACTGACGGGTCGGTCCTTTAAACCTTAAATCATGAGACAGAACCACGGTCCTGCTTCTGGACCCAGAACCACCAGAAATACAGGAAACTCATCATGAGATCAGTTTTTATTTTAACTGAAGGATGTTAATGAATAAAATCAATGAATCTGTAACTAAATGTGATCAAATGAGAAACTGATCAGAAGTTCAGTCGCTGGTTTCATGAAACAGTTTCAGGAGAAAAACGATCTCCAGAAATCCTCAAAAAGTTACGAAATGTGTGAAAGATTTTGTGGAAAGAAAATAAATGTAATCATTGAAAAATGTGTTTTTTCTCATTATTAAAATCAGAACGTAAATCAGTTTGTTTGATCGTTTTATTAATGTTTTATTAAAGTTTTATTAAAGTTTTATTAATGTTTTTGAGACGTTATAATCGTGTTTCAGCCTCGTCTGTGTTTTGTGTGTTTTTATGATCATTTCTTGTCTTTTTATTATTTTTCTGGTCGTTTCGTCTCTTTGAGGTTTTTTTTATTTGACTGTTTTTTAAAAATATTGAAACAAAAAGTTCAGAAAGTTTCACTGAAGTTCTTTTGAACTTTGACTTTATTTGACCGTTTGCTGGTAAAAACGTTGCGGAGACGTTTTCTTTGTCAAACGTTTGTTTTATTCATTTAAAGCCCCGTTACACCTGCAGCAGCGCTCTGATTGGCTGCTTCAGAGGCGTCCAATCAGCTTCCTTGGACTCCTCTAGAAGGCGGCTGTCTGGAGGTTCTGGAGGTGTTCCCGGGCCCTGCTGCTCACCTGGACGTCTACCTGACGCTGCAGCCGCTGAGGGCGGGGCCTCTGCACAGCCCCTTGCCCTGCACCTGCAGGCTGCTGCCCCTGTAGGTGGCCACGCCCCTGCAGTCCACCTGCACGTCGGGCTGCAGCTGCTCCCAGAGCCTGGACGGCAGCTCCCGGTCCGGCTCGCCTGGACGGGTCAGAACCGGGACCAGATGAGAGGAGAAGCAGCAGAAGAAAATAAATCCGTTTTTATTTTACAAAGTCTGAATGTTGAATTACTTTGTTTTAATTTTTAACTTTATCTAAATAACGTCAGAACTTTGTTAAATGAGCTAAATGTTGAACAGTTTTGATGTGAAAGAAAAACACGAAAATTAAATATTTAAAAAATGGAAAATATATTTTTAACTGTTGTTTTACAGACTTTCATATTTTTCAGTGTTTCTGAGCAGAGCTGCGCTTTTTTATTTCACAGCCTAATTAATGAGGAATCAGCGGTTACCATGGTAACTGGGGACGGTCACTCTGTCTCCGGGGGCGGAGCCTGCAGGAGGAAGCAGCAGCTGTACGTCATCGCCAGGGGCGGAGCAACAGAGGAGGCGGGCCTGAGAAGCCACGCCCTTCAGTTTACAGGCCTTCACGTTGCATAGCAACACCACGAGGGAACCTCGCAGCTGCAGACAGGAAGTGGAATTATTCCAAGTTATGGGAGAGAAGAAGAGTTTATATTTATAAAATATGAAACGTTTGTAAAGTGTCTTTCTCATAAAATTAAACTTTAGAAAAATAAAGTTAATGTGAACAATAAGCAATAAAACTGAGCATCAGTCAATATTTAAAGTAATATTTTCAGAATAAAACAAAATTTGGTCGAATAAAGTTAATATAATCAAAATATGTAAAATAACAATGATCTTTATTATTAATATTACATGTTAGTAATGTTTTGGATGTTTTCAAAATAATTCTGGATCATTTCAGAGGAAAACAACAAATTAATAATTAATAATGTTTTCAGAATAATTGTGGAACATTTAATTCATCAAATAACATGATAAGAATAAATGTGGAACATCCTGGGAATCATATTGGAACCTTTTAAGAACAAGATCAAAACATAATAATATTATAAAAATAAACGATAATATTTTTTATAATAAAGTCAAATTATTCTGAAAATACATCTGGAACATTTTCAGAATAAAATCTGAAGGTTATAAGAATCAACATCTGAAACATTCTGGGAATACATTTGAACCATTTTTAAAATAAACTTGGAACACTGTCAGTATTGAGTCGGAACCCTTTCAGAATAAAAGCAGGACTTCCTGTTCACCTGGTCCAGGTGTGTCTTCTCTCCCAGCTTGCTGACCACCGTCCGAGGAGCGTTTTCTCCGACGTCCACCTCCTGAACCGTCATGGTGTCGGTCAGCGGGTGGCGGCGGACGGCGACGACTCGTCCGACCCTCAGGTCGAGCCGCGACACGTCGAGCTGAGGCTCCGCCCCCAGGGGGTCGGAGGCGGGGCGAGCTGAGGAACAAACCAAACGTCAGGAAGAGTTTTTGTTTCACCTCGTGTCCGACTCTCTGCGCTCACCTCTCCTCCGCCGGCTCGACTTCTCCCTCCTCACCTGAGAGGAGGGAGGGGGAGGGGCCGCCGAGACAGCAGGTGGGCTGACAGGTGAGGCGGGGGCGGGGCTAAGGCTGTGAGGGGGCGGGGCCTGAGACAGCAGCGCTTTGGCTGAAAAAGGGAAACAAAACATCAGCGTCAAAATGTTTTATTCATATTTGACACTTTATTAATAATTTTGAGACTTTTTATTTATTATTTTATTATTAAACGTTTTGTTGATTTTTTTTTATTTGTTTATTTTGTTGTATTTCTGTGAATTCTGTTTAACTTTTTCTGTCTTTCTCCTTTGATGCAGAAATTAATTTTTAACATCTTATTATTTATATATTTGATGATTTCTTAATTTTTTATTTTATTTCCATTATTTTGAAAAATGATTTGAATATTATTATTTATTCTTTTGTGAATAATTTGGGACTTTTATAAATATTTGATTCTTTTAATTAATAACATTTTTCAGGTTTTATTTCGTTCCTGTTTTTGGATTTATTTCTGTTTTGTTCAGGAGCAGAAACATTAATGCAGGAATTTGCGTCTGTTTTCTGTTTTCTGTCGACTCGATCAGGTTTTTATTAAATCAGAACCTGTTATTTAAATGAGACCACAGTCAGCAAAGCCGCTCAAACCGAACCAGCTGCAGCTTCCTGAGAGGTTCTGGACGGTTCTGCCTCCGAACAGAACCGATGGCTTTAAGAAAACCTTCTTCGTGCTGCAGTTTAGACGTAAACATGCAGCGAACTGCTTCACTCCAGAACAGAAAGGTGAACGCGGGACGAATTCAGCTTCAGAGTCTTTGATTCATCACGTCGACGCCTTCACAGGAGATTTATTATCATTGATTTGATCCATGAATCAGAAAATGCAGCAAACGGCCAGAAAAAAAGAACAAATGTTTTATAAATCAGGCTGAAAACCTTCAGAATGTAAACGTGACAGATTTCTGCATCAAAGTAAAAAACATCAAAGAAACATCAAAATATAATCACAGAATTCACATTCATGGAAGAAAATTAATAAAAGCTCAGAAAAAAAATCACAAAACTGATGAAACTCCTGGAAACATTAAAAAAAAAATCAAATCATCAATAAAAGTTAAACAAAGTGCTCAGAAAAATTAGTAAAATGTAAAATAAAATAAAACGAATTCACATATATACAATAAAAATCCAATATAAATAGTATATAAATATAAATACAATATAAATAATAAATATAAATATAAATGTGAGGCTACCGGTGCGTCTCCTCTGCTTGTCCTGAACCTGAGCTCTCAGCTGTTCGATGTCTTTCTTCAGCTTCGCATTTTCCACCAGAAGCTTCTTCTGCTCTCTGACCGACGCCTGCAGCACTGAAGCACAGAACCAGAACCAGAACAAACCCGGAGACTGAAACCTCTCAGACTAGAGATGCAGATTAAAGATTACAGATGCAGATTCAAGATGCAGATT